GATGAAGAACAAAGAAAGATTAAAATCACCATTTTCTTTCTGGATCCTTTCAGGGCTCTCCCTTTGCCAATTGCAAGGAGGTTACAGATCCGCACTGTGAGATGGAAATTCACCATGCCTCTCTCTAGGCAGACTGGCCTATTTGTCAGATGTAATGTTGTGGGTCTCCTGGTCCATTGCCAATGCACTCTTAAAATTCTCACATTGCAGTTCCCTTCTTGCATCTTCTCCCCCTCCCTACCCATTGGCTTATCACTTTTCTAGTGTTTCCTGACCAACTTTTTTCCTTCCCCTTAGTATTTTCTTGAGTGTTTGGCTAGTTTTCTCATAGATCCTGGGATGGCACATGCTACACCATCACTTAAATAAAGCCTCGTAGTATCAAGTATAGAATTTCCTCTGCATGGTTTGTATTAATAGTGTGTCTCAATCTTTTCAACAAGTTTTTACTCAGCTTTATGGTGGTTTTTTGCTACTTTTGAAGCGGCTTTATGAATTAGTGTTGCCAGGTCTTAGAAACAATTGCAAGTATGTTGGCTTCATTGCAACACCTTTCTCAGACTGAATCACAGGAACCTTGTGGTCTGGAACTTTTGCTTTCTATCGCAGTTCAGTGCTCTTTTCTGTGCTTTCTCATTCCTTGCTGGGTATATTCCTTTGTTTTTGGTTCTAAATGAATGTCTTAAGGAATCTCAGTGCTGCTTGACTATTTTGCCTTTGTGATACATGCCACATTTAGTATACAGGCTTGAACTCAATCACTGTTCTCTCTCTCTCGGTTTCTGATGTTGTTCCTGCAAGACAGAAAAATACATTACCCTACAGTCTGAACTCAGAACAATATAACTGTATGCTAATTACTTTTCCAGTTTGCTAATAGAAAATTTAAAGGGATAGAATCCATTTAATAAGTCATATGTATTGTGCTCATTTTAAAGGCCTTTCCAGACTTCTAGTCAAAATAAAACCAAGAGTCAGAAGATACTGCATTTCATACTAATTTCTTTAATAGAAAAAAATGTATGTAACTAGAGTTAAAAAAAAAACCCAAGAAACCTGGGTTAGTTATTTCAATTCTGTTCCTTTCACATTCTACACAGAACTGAAATGTCTTAAAGTTTTTAAAACTGGAGTCCATCTTTTTAATTTAGCCAGTTAATTTAGCCATCAAAAACATCCTTCCATTTCTTGGATTTCCTAAATCCATATTTGATAGCTTGGCAATTCTTTCTTTTACCAGAGCAGTGTTATCTACTTCTTGGCTGCCACTGATAGAATTCTAAATAAACATTTTGCTACATTACGTTCCAGCAATTTAGGTATGTAGCCTACCACCATGTATTGTGATGTACATGGAAAATAAATCTCCTAAGTGGCCTCAATTGCAGTGCAGATCTGTTGCCAAAATTCCCACATTGTGGGACTGAACCAGAAAATATGTACAGGTCCCATTCTACTCCCAGTGAAATCAATGGTAAAACTCCCCTGGATTTCCGTGGGAGAAGAATCAGATCCTAATTCTGAATCATGGCCTATACAATGTCATGCCCTACATTAATGGGGAAAAATCCTATTAATTTTGTGTTATATCAAGGTCTTGGAAAAATTCTGACCATTGCTGTCTATAGAATTTCCTTTCTAGAAAGAGAAATCAGCTGTATGAACCATCTTCCATACCTCAGACGAGTTCGCATCATCTATGAGCCATCCCTGCTCTGTGCTTTGAAGAGTGGAGTTTAGCAATGTGTCAGTGAACAAGTTGATTCATCAAAGGAGAGAACTGCTAGAAAAAGAAAAGGCTGAAACAGCCTGCAGCCCTGGAGGAAAGGCAAAAGCAATATTGAGAGAACTAATTTTAGATCCCAGTAACCCCAGGATTTGCTTGAGAGATAAGATAAATCAGTGATAGACTGAGGTCAAGGAGAAATGGCAAGAGATACTGAAAAACTGGAATTGGGAAAAACTCATCTTAGGAAGTGCAACTCAAATTTCACTGTCAAGCACAGTTTTTATTGCTCAAAAGTATACAGACCACTATATATAGTTCTGGAGGTAAACACATGTAACTGGATTCCTTTACACATAGGGGATTTTGTGCATTAAAACATGTCAAAATGCATGGAGAAGGCACATTGAGTAAAGGAATAAGGCTGTTATTGATTGATTTTTAGTACAGTATGGTGATTAATACATGATTTTAGTCTATTTGAAAAACAGGGCACTGGACAAGGAGTTGGGAGACCTGGCTTCTGTTTTCAGCTCTGCTACTGACTTGCTGTGTGAACTTGGGCAAGTCATTTGATTTCTCTGTACCTCAGTTTCGCCATCTGTAAAATGAGAGTAACTGTTCTTATGCACTTCTGTTCTGGGAGCGGTGGGTGAAAAGTGCTGTGTAGATGTGTTATTTTTCAGTGATATTAATTTAATAATAAACTGCAGAATCACATTAGACACATTAAAAATACAAGAGGTGGTTGGCTGCCTGTACAAGTGAGGAACATCAGGGGAAGTGAGAAACTACCTCACAGCCTCACCTGAGTATGGACACAGCTAAATCCTACCCTGTGATGTGGGAGTGCACTGGATGAAACAGGGGCAAAAAAAGAGGGTGCAAGAAAACCCTTTTCCTGGCCCCCATAGCCACCCCTGAAGCTAGCTATGCAAATTGAGGGGACTCATGAGCACTAGTATGTGTGAGGAATGGTGCACCACACTCCCATGAGGACATAGTCAAAATCGTCAGCCCATGGGTATGCTGTGAGTATAGTAAGCTTTAGGTATGCTGCTCCTTTCTCAGCACAACTATGAAGTGAGTCCAAGTATGTAGTCACTCTGCCCCATCTTGCCTTGTGCTGGCAGGATGGCTCCCATATGCACCAAAAGCCCAGCACTGCTCTACTTCCGGTCAGTGTGAAGGACAGGATTGGTGCAGTATTCAACCTTCCCCCAAGGTTTTTTCCATCACTTTTTTATATCTGATGTTAAAGAGTTAAGTCACATTGTTTAAAAACTCTGGTTATATAGCATCCAGTTTAAGTGGTTCATAGATTTCTGCTAATTCTTGGAAGGCATTTTGCAGTGCCAAATGCAAGCTCTAATGTACCTGTTTTAGCTCAGCTTATTGCAAATACACAAAAACTAATTGCTTGACTGGTTTTGCTGTAGTTGTTGGAGATCATTCAAGTGGGGTTTAAAATGGAAATGCTAACAGAACCTTCATTACAGAACTGGTAAGGCCACCACTATAATACTCTAATGAACAGGCATTATGCCCACTTTAACAAACACATACATAGCCATGTTCTGTGGCTGTTTTTTTTTTTTTATGAAAGAAATGTGGGTGGGAATACAATATGTTGTCGGCTTTTCTCACCTTCCTTTCAAAAACTGAAATAAATAGGAAATATCATGGTAGCCAGTGGGACAATATACATTTTGGATGTTTCCAGATGTTGAAATAGGAATATATGTGTGTGAAGATAAATGCTTAAAACTTTCAGATAACTTTTCTAGATCCACCTTTGTTCCCTGGAATTGTAGCCCTTGTTAGTGCAGAAAAATTTTTAATATCCTCACTCAAATAAAACTTCAGCTAAAGTTAATGGGAATTTTGCCTGAGTGAGCACTGTGGCATCTGGCCATTGGTCTTTGTACTACTCTTTCTGTAATGTATATAGTGCACTGTCTTGTATTATTCAATTCTATATCAGGCATGTTTTGGAAGGCAGGTTGACGCTATGTAAGGTAACACCATATAGTATATTGTGTTACTGAGGCAAGGTAGGAACATTGGAAAAGAAATGAAAAAGACAAGAAGGCAGAAAAGGGTGTCCTCTTTCTTCTGGCATTATAGAGCTTCCAAATTACATCTGTTCTTCATACATTTTCCAGAGAGAGTTTTCTTAGATCCTGGTTTAATTACATCTGAGATGCAAAACCTCCAGCAAACTCATTTTTCTCTATATATCATTTCATCCTCTTTTTTCCCCATTCCCCACATATTATTTGAGCCTACATCTTTCTGCCAGGACTTTGCTGCTGAACCCCAGCAGGAATCTAAGCAGATGCTAACCATTTAGGTTTATTAAATACATTCGTCAGTTTTATGTCTCCCATCCCCTTCATTTTTAGCCTGACTGCACCACTGCTAATCCGTTTAGGTAACATGCAAACAAGCAGATTGGGGTAAGGACTCTGAAAAATTCTGGTATCATTGATTTGCTCCAAAAAACAAAATGAAACAAAACCTCCCCTCTTTATTAAATTGGTCATACTTAGAAAGAAGGAGTCATTGTATCATGAAAAGGAGACTTAGCAATGTCTCTTTATTAAATGAGTAAATATAAGGTGACAAGGCTGTCATGGAGCAGGACACCGGAGTTTAGCCAGGGGCTTCAGTCAGTGGGAGCTGGAGCAGGCCCATGACAAGAAAGGGAAGTACACTGCTGTTATCCGGGCTACATTCCGCTCCCATGGACGTGGATGTAAATCAGAGGGGCTCTTCATTACTTCATTGGCCTTACTCTCATTTACCTCGGTGTAGAGCTAAATCTGCCCCCCTGACAGAGGCTTCGGGGGCGAGAGCAGGGAGCAGAAGGAGCAGAGGGGAAAGGAAGTGTCTGGGGAGAAAAAGCAGAGGGCGAGAAGGAAGGCGGGAGCAGGGACACAGAAGATGCTTTAGGAGGCCACCTCTGGACAGATGCGTGCGAGAAAGGATCACAAAGGCTGCGCGGCGCTTCTGGCCCTCCAAGAGGTGCAGGGCTCCCAGGACAGCCGATGCAGCAGGCGGCTGCTAGAACTTGCAGACAGCGCTGCGGCCGAGGGGGGCGGCTGCGGCGGCAGCTCCCTCCCCAGGCGGGAACCCAGAGACCGCGTGCGCCCCGCCTCGGGCCAGGCGCGCGCTCTGCGGGGCTCTGCGCGGCTCGGCCAGGGCGGGCGGGGGTGAGGCGGGTTTGATGATGTAATCGCAAATCAGGGAGCGGTGAAATTTAACACCGAGCGCGGGTGGGGAGGGTTTGCCTTGGGTCGGCTGGCGGCTCTGCTCCCCAGCCAGAGGCAGGCTGCGCTCAAGGCTGCGCGCCAGTGCATCGCCACTAGACATCTCGGGCGCTTTGCAAAGGCTCTGGTGACCTGGGCACTGTTTCTTCACCACGGCCAAGGATTTCTCCGCAGGTCCCCTCCCGGCCCGCTCCACCCCCGCAGCGGATCGTCGAGTCCAATGCAGAGCTCTGCTGTACTTGCAAAGGCTCCTGTCTCCGAACCACGTGTGAAGCCGAGCGCTCCGCTCCGGTTTATATTGATGCCATCCTCTCCCTGACTCCCTTGAGAGTGAAACCCCAAGTCACGCCCCTTCACCATGCGGGGGACGCACTAGGGCTTGCCAAGAGCTCGGAAGGGACCTCCGCTCTGGGGTGATTTCATGGACAGTACCTGAACCTTGAGCGGTTTGGAGCTGGCTTCTGTTTTCGGTTAGATCTTCGCTGCTCGGACAAATGCAGACAAATGCATTTAGGAGCAAAAAGGACAAGGAGTGGAAGCATCTCTCCCACAGCAAAAACGTAAGTAAGAGCCCAGCAGTCAAGGGTGTGTGTGTATGTGTGTGTGTTGTGCTGGGGGGGGGGGGTTGATAGCTCGCTGCACACACAGCGTACGTCTTGTCAGTGTCTGTGAGCAGGGCAGGCGGTTTATTTTGGAGCTACGCGTTCCCCTTGTCTTTGCAATTTGTCAAATGCCCCGTTTAAAAGGCCTTCTGCCAGCGGGTCTACAGACGGTTTATGTTAAAGCAATCAAGCCGCGCAGAAGGAAAAGTTTATTGGCACTTTTCCCTCTGCCGGCTAAAACAGGCTTCGCGGACTTAGCGACTTTCAGGTCTCCCTCCCCCTTCCGAAATGAGTTACGAGATCCACTAATCTTAAAAACCAAACCAAACCCCCGAACTGCCAGCTCCTGGGCTTGAGATTTCCCCACTGGAGGGAAGAATTCTGCGCTCGGTGCGTTCTCCAGGGTGGGAGACGGAGGAACGGTGCTCGCGAGTCTCGGGTTAGCCTAGTCAGGAGAGAGCCTCGAAATGCTGGGTAGCAGTTTAGGGGGTTTCCGGAGTTACGAAGCGAGGAGGTTGAGGCAAGGGGTTGATAAAGAGATGACTGAGTGCGTGTGTTTGGCCGCAGCTTCCTTCTCCTCCCGAGGACACAACAGTCGTGCGGGAGCTGCTGCTGGGGCTGTGAACCCCGCAGGGACAGACGGGCTTTGCCTCCGGGGCCAGGGAGACCGCGGTGGCTGATTTTGTTGTCACTCGCTGGTGAACTGCTGCTGATGGAGAGCGGGCAATAAAGTGAGGGAACTAAGGGGAAGTGGTATTTTGCCTTCCTCCCCAATAGGGCAGACCCTGGCGTTATTTTTAGACTCGAGGATATGCTCAAGTAGTTTTTTTCCGACGCACTTCTAGGGGGAGCTGCTCGTCCGTAGCTGCAGCCCCCCTCGCCTGTTCAGGCTAAGATTGATTACTCGGGCTAGTGGCTATTTAAAGAGTCTGCAGACACGAACCGGTTCGTAATAGCGTTTGTGACGCCTGCAGCCTCCTGGCGAAGAGCTTGGGGGGGGGGGGGGGGGGCGGAAAGGTCCCAGATCAGCAGTTCGCCGCCGCGACAGGGGAGTTGCAACGACGCCCTCGAATACTTGTATGGGGAGGGACGGCAGCCCATATAGGAGGCTTCCCCCCCACCCACATGTTTACATGCAAATGATGCCAGAGACCCGGGTGGCAAAACATAGGTACAAGTGCTTTCTTCTGGTGCATCGTAGTGACAGTCTCTCCGAAGAGCGGGCAGGAGGAGACGGGGTCCGAGGGGGGAGGTTTGGGGGTGGGGTGGGGCAGATGCCTGGCCGGGAAGGGTGCGTTACAAACACAACTTTGTGTTGTTTAAACACGTAAGGAGGGGTTGAGATCAAGGCAATGAATCCGATCTGATCACTCCGGCCGGGCGCAGTTTGACTTCGCTCCGTTTCTCCTTCGCAACGGAGCCGCGTCCCACCGGGCCGCCCGCCTCGTTCATTTCGTGCGGAAGCGTCTGCTGGCCCCGTGTCTGTAACGAACCGCTTTGGCGGGGCGGGTGGTGGCCGGCGCAGTGAGCCGCACGGGCACGGCAGGCGGTGACTTGCCCGTTTCACAGCCCGGCGGTGGGGTTGAGGCTCCGTGTTTGACATGCTCGCTCCTGAGGAGCCAGTGCGCTTTGCTGGCATACGGGGAGCGCAAGCGTGCACCGACGGTGGCAGGCGCAGCATCGGCGAGCCCGCCTTGGAAATGCCCCCCTCCCCGGAGACCCAGTCACCACGGCGTCCGAGCTCCCTTGCACGTTCATGCCCGGGCCAGCCCAGCTAGGCGGGCGGGGGCTGGGACGGTTTTGATCGTGGGGGTGCTGCCGATGGAAATCAGGACTTCGGCACCCCTCGCGCCAGCGCACAGCGCGGGGGGCTCGCACTCCGCCGCCCCCCGCGCCCGCTGGGAACCCCCGGCGTGCTGCAGGGGAAAGCAGCTGCGCTCGCTGCTGCTGCCCCCGGCTCTGCTGGGCCCGGGGAGCGGAGGGGCTGGGCGGCAGGCATGGCGGGGGCGCCGGCGGAGGAGGGCGCGGCCCTGGAAGAGGTCAGGCGGAGACGCGGCCGAGCGTGGTGCTGGTGCTCCCTGGCACACCTGCCGGGGCCCATAGCGGGGCTGGGGAGAGGTACTGGGGGGGTGGAGGGGAGCCTTTGGGAGGCGCCGCGGGAATTGAAGGGGGAAGCGGGCTGAGTGGGGGCGCGCAGGGCCCCTCAGGGCTGTGAGCGTGGAGTCCTTGCTTTGCCGGCGGCCGGTGCAGGCACCCGTTCAGCTCCCCGGCCCCGCTGCCTTGGAGCACCGCCGAGCCCTCCCAGGCAGCGCTGATGGCTCAGTGGAGTGGGGCTCCCGCGGCACAGACCCTGCCCCGCGGGCTCGGTCCCCCCACAGCCCTGCTCCCCCTAGCTCCCTTGGCCACTCAGCGTGCGGCAGCATAAGGGGGACCCCAGCAGCACCGAGGGGGAGCAGGGCGCTGTGGGGAGCGTGGTGGGGGAAGCGGAGAACTCCCTGGTTCCCTAGCGCTGAGCTCTTTGATGAGCCCCCTGTGGTTTGTCATTGCACAGTTCCTCTAAACTCTGCTCCCCCAGCTCCTAGCTCAAGCCCGCTTCTCCACCTGCACAGCCCAAATCCCTCTCCTCCGTTGTCCCCTTCCCAGCAGCCACTCCCATAATCCCGACAGATTATCCCGATGCCGCTGTCCATGCCTGCTTTCCTGTATGCTCTCTACATCCTCCCTTGTCCAGCTGTCCCCTCCAGCGCCTATACCCCCCAGCCTCATGCCCCTTTCCGTGCACAATCCATCCACACTACCTGCCCCTCCCTATGCCCTCCTAATTCCCTAGGACATTCTGTTTTTCAGTGGGAAGCCCAGCCTGGACGGGGTTATATGTTACCAGGACTGAAAGGCTGGGGCCTGTGGGGGACAGTGAAGTTGTGTGGGGTGGGGAGCCTGGAGGCAATCTGGGCTGTATGCAAGGGTCCAAGAGGGTGTGTATGGATTGTGGCTCTGTGGTGGTTGCTGCTTGTCAATGATGACAGCTTGCTGTGTGAATAACTATCGGAGTTGACAAATATAGTATTTATTAAAAACCTGGAAAATTCTCACTAACAAACAAAAACCTTTGCTTACAGCTTAGGTTTCTGAATTACTTAAAATCAAGGAGACCATGAGGTCAGGTAACCTATCTTGTAATGCCTGCTTACTTCCACAACTTCACTTGCATTTGCAACATATAACTACCACTGTGCACACATCAGATTCCTCTGTGCAGCACGATAACATACAACTTTATGATTTCATACTTTTTCATATAAAAATAACATTATAGACTTTACCAGAGCATGTCATCTGTCAAGTTTATGTGTTAACCTAGTTGTGGTCAGAGTTAAGGTTGCTTGTAAGTCTGAGTGAACAATGAAGGCATTTGATGTGTACACTGTGACTAGTTATATGTTGCAAGTGCAAGGGAGTTTGTTGTGGAGGTGAGGGATCTTTGAGTGATGTTTTGTTATTAAGGCATATGAATGTAAATTGCCTTAATTCAGGATCTTCTTGATCTTTAGTGATTGCGTTGGTCGGATTTCCCCTTTAGCAACCTTAAATCTAAGGTAACAGATTTTTTACTGTGGGATTAAACAGAATTGTAGAGGGATCTTAATGCTAGATAAATGCAAATGCATTTGTTAAAGTAGTACAACAGCACAAACTGAAGTTTACCTAATTGTGTCCAAAACTTGTGGTGTTCAGCTAGTTTGAGCGCTACACTAATGCAAATAATACTATAATAATAATAATTGTGGTTTAAATGACTTTTGTTTTTTAAAAGTCCAGACACACTGGGTACTACAGGATTGTCTCTGGGTTTAAGCTGAAGTAAAGATCCTGCTCTGTATCCTGTCACTTTAAATTCTACCCCTGACAGCTGTTTAAGCATGAGGGGTCCCTGTATCCCAGGCACTGGCTTAGAACTGCTGCCCACTATTTCTTACTAGCTGACCAAATTGCTCCTCCAGCCCCCCTTCCCAAGCCCTGCATTCAGCCCTCAGATGGATTCATGGGTAATTCAGGGCTTTGCAAATTGGGTCCAGATGGGGAAAAATCTGAACGATTTGAAATGGGATGGAAGAGTTTGAAAAATCTCATACATTTGTGTAACACAGCAACATGAAAGTAGCAGCAGGGAAGGAGTTTGGCTTCTTGGGAGGCTGCTGCTGCTGGGACACTGGGGTTGGTTTGCACATTCCTGGCAAGGGAGCTGTCTTCCCCTGCCCAATAGCCTTGTGTCAGAATCAGTAGCAACCCATCCATTAATAAACTTCATATATGTAGCCAGCCAGGGAGAAAAGTATTATAGGAAGCTCCGCTTGGCAGGGTTTAAACAACATGACATATTTATCCAAGATAGTTGTGTTTTCTTAAAGGGCAATGAGAGAGAGAGAGTGTGAGAGAGAATGTTTGTATTGAGGGGGGTTTATCTCAATTAGAAACAACAGGCAGATGCGTACCCTCTAATGCTTGGGAGAACTAAGTGTAATTCAAGAGCCAGATCCTGCTTGCCTTACACACAGAAATAATTTTGGGCTGAGTCTAGCTTACTCTCAGAAATAGTTCCATTGACTCCAGTGAGTTTACTTGCATGAGTACAGTTAGGGTATTTTGTCCCCAAGTTAGCTGAGCAAGTAGAGAGAATAAGCACCTTCTGGCATAATGCAGTGTTTGTGTTAAGCAAGCAAAGGCCGCATAGAAATTACACCATTTTTTTGCCATCTCGAAAGCATAATTTGAGGGGATGCTGTTCGGTCAAATTTGGCTCCAGTGTTCTCTGTGTAGGGTATGCAGTAATGTATCTGATCGTGCATTCCTTGCACTTCCAACCTCCCTTTGAATTCAATTGACAAAACCTTTAATTCTTAAATGTGAACCATATAACCCTATAATACTTTTATTTACTGACTTTTTGCATTTGATTA